AGAAACATATTACAAAGACACTGATAAATTCGATATAAGAGGTTATACCTCCTACAATATATTTTCACCTCCAGGTGCAAAAGCCACTGGAGGTTCTTCAATATTCATGAAAAACGGCGTTATCCACAGCCCTGTTCATCTTGCTACTCCTCTTTAAGCTGTAGCCGTCCGTGTAACCTTACACATAGTTTTTACTTTGTGTTCGCTCTATATTTCACCATCTTCTCCCCAAGCCCTGTTCAGACAAATAATAAGGGTAAGAATTTTGGAAAAATTCTTTTGAACAACGACTTGTGTATCCATAATGATGGTTCAAACACATATCTACATCCCGGTACAGGTACCTACTCTGCTCTTGATTTATCACTCACTCACTCTGATTTATTAAACGAATTTGAATGGTCCGTCCACGAAGACCTCTGTGGCAATGATCATCTCCCAACCATTTTAAAACCTGTCTTACCTTCAGATGTTCCTCCTCCAACAAGATGGAACTTTACTAAGGCCAACTGGCCTTTATTTGAATGCTTGCATCCAATTAACACCTGATCTGTTTCTTGACGCTACTGACCCTGTACAATTATTTTCTGATGAATTAAACAAAATCGCTGATGAGTGTATTCCTAAGTCCTCTACAAATCCACACATCCGTAAACCATGGTTTAACAATGACTGCAAACAGGCTAGGAAGGCACGGAAAAAGGCTGAGCACTATTTCCGTCGCCATCCTATGGCCAATAATTTGAATAAATATAAAATCTTAAATGCTCAAGCCAGGCGTACGTTTAAACAAAATAAACGGCAATCTTGGCAACATTATGTTTCCAAAATAAACTCACGAACGCCCATGTCCAAGGTATGGAACATGATACAGAAAGTTAAAGGTAAGGGTTCTCAATGTAGCATCTGGCATCTTAAGATTGGGGATGAACTATTAACTAATAAATCGGATATTGCAAATAAACTAGGTGAAACGTTAGCCAAACATTCTTCTTCCTCAAAATATGTCACTCAATTCCAATAAAATTTTAAATTTTAAATCGGATAATGGGGAAGATTATAATGAAATATTTTCGATCCATTAACTTCATACTGCTTTTGGACAAGCTCATGATACTGCTACAGGAGCTGATAATATACACAATCAACTCCTGAAGCACTTACCAGAACCGTGTTTAGAAACCCTTTTGTTAATTTTTGATGATATATGGACATCAGGTAAGTTTCCTTCTTCTTGGCTTGATGCCATAGTTGTACCCATACCGAAACCTGGACGGGATCACAGCGATCCTTCAAATTATAGACCCATTTCATTGACCAGTTGCGTTTGCAAAACCATGAAACGCATGGTCAACAATAGATTAACATGGTACTTAGAATCAAATAATCTAATTACAAATATTCCGTGTGGCTTTCGAAAGAATCGAAGTACCGTTGACCATTTAGTACGGTTAGAATCATTTGTGAAAAATGCAATCATTAATATCCATTGTCTGTCTTTTTCGATTTAGAAAAAGCGTATGACACAACGTGGAAACACGGGATTTTAAAGGATTTACATGATTTTGGATTGAGAGGCTGTTTGCCTCAATTTATTTCCAAGTTTTTAACTGACAGACAATTTCAGGTCCGCGTGGGTTCTACCCTGTCTGATCATTATCATCAGGATAAGGGTGTCCCACAAGGCAGTATTTTGTCTGTCACTTTATTAAGTATAGAAATAAATAGTCTTTCAAAGCTTTTAAGTGATTCAGTAGATGGATCACTTTTCGTGGATGATTTTAATGTTTCTTGTCGTGGAAAAAATATGCATACAATAGAGAGGCAGTTACAAATCTGTCTCAATAAAATTCATAAATGGTCCCTCGAAAACGGTTTCAAATTTTCCAAATCAAAAACTAACTGTCTACATTTCTGCAGAAAATAAAAACCGCATAAGGACCCTGAACTATTTTTTTAAATGGCACCCCCATCAAAGTTGTAAAAGAGGCCAAGTTCTTGGGCCTTATTTTCGATAGTCATTTAACTTTCCTTCCGCATAATAATTATCTTAAAGCTAAATGTCCGAAGGCACTCGATTTATTGAAAGTAGTTTCTAATTCAAAGTGGGGAGGGAATCAAATAACCCTCTTACACTTGTACAGGTCATTGATCCGTTCAAAACTCGATTATGGCTCCATCGTCTTTGGTGGAGCCTGCAAAAGTAACTTTAAAAAACTGGATACTATCCATCATCAGGACCTGAGGCTTTGCCTTGGAGCCTTTAGAACGTCTCCAATTCACAGTCTGTATGTAGAAGCGGATGAACCTTCTCTTAAACAACGCCGCCGTCTGGAATTATCTTTACAATATGTCACTAAGTTATATTCGAAGCAGTCAAATCCAGCTTTTAATTGCGTCTTTAATCCTCTTTACAAAGATATTTACAATAAAAAATCATCTCTTGTACCACCACTCAGAATCCAGTCTGCCATGTCTGCTGCTAATATTAAACTGCAAGATATAGCTTCCTTTCAACTGTTTTCACCACCTCCTTGGCAAATGGTAAGGCCAGAGGTCGATCTCACATTAACCAAATTTAATAAATCTGAAACAAATAAACTAATTTATCAACAACAATATAATGAATTAAGGAATAATAATGATACTTACAAGTCCATATTTACAGATGGATCCAAGGATGGTGACGCTGTTGCCAGCGCCACTGTCATTGGATCCAGAACCATATCATCTAGATTAACGAATGACAGTTTCATTTTTTCAGCAGAATCACAGGCAATATTAACTGCTCTAAAAAATATAAATACTCAATCTAAACATAAACGGCTCATTATCTTTTCTGATTCACTTTCCTGTCTTCAGGCAATTAAAAATATATCTTGTGAACATCCACTTTTACGTGAAATTATAGAACTACATAATGATCTTGCTACTGGCCAGTACGACATCGTCTTTTGTTGGTCACCAAGCCATGTTGGTATCACTGGTAACACAATGGCCGATGCTGTTGCAAAAGCAGCACTCAACAAATCTGTGACACCACTTCTTATCCCATACAGTGATTATAAACCTATAATTAGATCTTACATCCGTGATCTGATGCAAAAGAAGTGGTACACCAAAGTATGTATCAATAAATTACATGAAATTAAACCAAATATTGGTTACACCTACTTGGGTAGTCAGTCCAGATTTGAAGTGGTCATTTTACGACGATGTCGTATTGGTCACAGTAGATATACTCACGAATATTTGTTGAAAGGCGAAGATCCTCCTTTTTGTATCCCATGTGATGAGAGAATCGCGGTCAAGCATGGCCTGCTTGACTGTATTGATTTTGCCATCACAAGGGATAAATATTTCAAATCATCATCTCTCAAGGATCTTTTTTTATAATATTAATTCTCATTTAGTTATTGGGTTTTTAAAAGAGATAGAATTGTTCAATACATTTTGATAATATGTATTGTATAAAATGAATGACTTTTTAAAATTGGTAGAATGAAATTGTATCTGAGTTTATTTCTGGCCGTATCCTCAAAGGGGGTTGACGTAGTGTAAAATTATTGTCCCCCTGAGAGGATATCGTAAGTCCATGTCATTCAAAGAATATTTCTGCCTACTACTGTTTTAAACGTAGAATATTTGTATGTTTACTTGTGGCTAACTTGGCATACATTCGCCAGTTGCTGAAGGGATGATGTAAATCCTGCTGGGGTCCATGCAGGTAGCAAAGGTACTGTAAGTCCCCATGGTCCCCAGTATGGTGGTCTACCTTCAGTTGCTGACGATCTATAGCCCGTTTTTATCTTGTATCGTTATGTATAGTGCTATTCTCTTTTATGATTCCGTACTAGTTTCATATCTTTTTCTGTGATAAATCTAGATACTTTACTGTCCTTCGTTGACAGGTTTTTATATAAGTTTCGATATATGTATTATGATTAACTATTGATAGTCACGTTATGGCTGAAATATTGCCGATGTGACTTAAATTTTAACTCACTCACTTACTCACTCATTCTGACCTAGGGTATTCATTCTTGTTATCAGTATGCAGCTCTATTCACCGTTATTCTTTCATACTGCTCATAAACATATGCATATACTGTGAATCTTTCTCAACAGGTATGCATCTAATAACTATCAGGTTTTTCCAGTGTACAAGGCGGGGTATTTAAACATATTGGGGTCCCGTGGGCCATTAAGTTATGGAATAAATAAACCGCACGTAACGCCATAATCCCCAATTAAAAACACATATTGACAACCGTTGGTATAGCCAAGTCTCTTTTCGTTTGAATACATACACCTATAGGGTATTCCGGGTCAGAAAAGGTCCCCAATGTTTCATGCGTGTCGTAGATGTATATTTCGAATAATGTTTTTGCTTTAAAAACTCGTATATTTCGAATTATGATTTTGCTTTAAATACTAGTATATTTCGAATTATGTTTTGGCTTTAAACACTACATAATAAAGTGGAAGTTAGTTAGGGATAATGTTGAGAATGGGGAGGGAAATGGTTTTATTTTATCAATGTGTTTGCTTTAATTTTGCTGAATTGTGACTGATAGAATATAATTTTCGTAGATATATAATACTTGTTTTTGACATACACACATTTTATTATAAGTAGTGAGTGAATTAAAACTAAAAGTCATCTCGGCAGTATCATATCGTGACTATGTGACCTTTAAGTTGATTTTGACAGACCGGGCCAGGTCGGATAGAACACTTGTGATGTCAATTCATATGTTGACTATGTTGAGGATATGGATAAATAGGCTTCACTTTGAACAACTTGTTTGCTTTAAATACCCAAATCTGTGAAATTATAAAGTGTTATTTATGTAGATATGATACTATTATATATATCTAAACACTTTCCATGATACATCTGTGCATTAGTTGCTTATAGTCTCCCGCAGGGGCCAAGACGGACCAAACGCTCGCACAGTCAAACCACAGTGCAATAAATATGTGAATCTTTCACTTACCTAGTATTACAGAAATGGAAGCTAGGCTGATGACGAAGCTGATTTGTGAAGCCATAATTGTTGAGTCATTGAAACTTCAAGGACCAGCCTCTGAAAGATAGTCATTTACAATAAAAGACAAGGTCTTTAGGCTGCTAGGTTAGCATGAGTAGAAATGCCATTTTAAATACCTATAAAAAGGAAACATATTAAAAGCCTATTTCCTTCTGAGACGTCAGTGCGTTTCACTGTAATAGCGTTTGAAGTAAAGAAATTCCAAAGACATTCGAATTCAAGTGTTCGTTCGACTTCATGTTAAAAAAACAATAACCCCAAGTCAGTTCCTCAATTGTCCTCATTCATACTGAGAAGCAGTTGTGGGAAATTGTAATAACCTGCTTTGTAATCTGTAAACAAGCTGCAGTGAAATGTAGAAACATCTGACGTAATTTGTAATAACACCTTGGTCAGTCAACGATGACCTCTGTGGAAGTGACAATTTTCCTACACTTCTCACACCTGTGACCCCATCTGATGTTCTTCCATCATCAACAAGATGGAATTTTAGTAAAGCCAACTGGGCTTTAAAATGAAGCTCTTTGCACGCAAACACTTATGCCTGATCTCTTTTTTGAACCTGACATGTGTATCCCTAAATCCTCTGCAGTTCCTCACATACGTAAACCATGGTTTAATGATAACTGCAAACACGCTAGGAAGGCTAGGAAAAAGGCCGAGCATTATTTCCGTCGCCATCCTCTTGTCCATAATTTAAATAAATTCAAAATTTTAAATGCTAAAGCACGACGAACATTTAAACAAAGTAAACGCAAATCATGGCGCAATTATGTCTCAGAAATTAATTCATGTACACCGATATCTAATAGTGGAACATGGTCCAAAAAATCAAAGGAAAAGGCACTCAATCTACCATTCACCATCGTAAAATTGGGGATCAGTAATTAACTAATAAATCAGATATTGCAAATAAACTTGAAGAATCGTTGGCTACACATTCATCCTCTTCTAATTATGTACCCGGATTTCAAAAATTTCAATAGCAGGAAGAAAAGAAGTCCATTTATTTTAAATCACATAATGGAGAAGATAATAATGAAACATTTTCCATACATGAACTCCATACTGCTCTTGGTCAAGCTCATGACACGGCTTCAGGATCTGATAACATCCACTATCAGTTTCTGAAACACCTACCAGAACCATGTTTAGAAACCCTTCTTCTGATTTTAGATGAAATATGGACATCTGTTGAAGTTGCTTCTTCGTGGTGTAATGCCATAGTGGTTCCTATACCAAAACCTGGCCGTGATCATACTGATCCCTCAAATTAACGACCTATTTCCCTAACCATCTGCGTTTGCAAAACCATGGAACGTATGATCAATAAATGATTAATATGGAACTTAGAAACCAAAAATTAATCACAAATATACAATGTGTTTTACAATGTGTAATAAAGTATTAAGATAAATCGCCTCTCTGGGGTTTTAAGCGATTCAATTGATGGATTACTTTTTGTTGATGATTTTAACATATCTTGTCGTGGCAAAAATGTGCATACTATCGAAAGACAACTGCAGTATGTCTAGATAAAATTCAAAAAAGGTCGCTAGAAAATCGCTTTACATTTTCTGAATCAAAGACCAATTGTATTCATTTTTGTAGAAAATATAAGCCACATCAAGATCCTGAACCTTAATTGGATTGCACATGGTACTTAGGACTTGCTTTTTATAGCTACTTGACATTTAAACCCCATCTAAAATATCTTAAAGCCAAATGCCTGAAAGCGCTAGAGTTATTAAAAGTCGTTTCAAATTCAAAGTGGGGAGGTGATCAGGAGACCCTCCTTCAATTATATAGAGCTCTCATCCGTTCTAAACTTGATAACGGCTCCATCGTGTATGGAGGAGCATGCAGAAGTAATCTAAGAATACTGGATTCTATTCACAACCAAGGACTAAGGCTCTGCCTTGGATCCTTCAGAACATCTCCGATTAACAGTTTATATGTAGAGGCTGATGAGCCATCACTTACACTCCGACGTATGAAGTTATCGTTACAATATATTACAAAATTATCTTCAAATGTATCTAATCCTGCATACGATTGTGTTTTTCATCCCCTTTATGAAGAACTTTACTAAAACAAATCTTCTCTTATTCCTCCTCTTGGAATAAGGGTAAAAACTGCCATTTCTTCTGCAAATGTACATCATGAAATATTTCTCCTCACCGCCTTGGCAACTGGTGAAGCCAGAGGTAGATCTGACATTAACAAAATTAAAGAAATTCGAAACTAATGAAAACAAGGTGCTCAAAGTGAAGCCCTTTTCACTCTACATTCTCAACATAGTCTCTATCAGAAGTGTTTGGCTTGTGCTCGGTCCGACTTGGCCCGGGCTGTCAAAATCAACTTTAAACACACAGATGTATCTTCAAATGTGTTTACATCCATAGACTAGTATTATATGTACCTATATACCACTTCACAATATCACAGTACATAGCATTTAAAGAAAACTGATCCGTTAAAGTCAAACACTTTTACTGAATAAGTATTGGGTCCGACTTGGCCCGGGCTGTCAAATTCAACTTTAACACACACAGATGTATCATCAAATATGTTTATATCAATACAAAGTGGAGCCCTTTTTCGCATACTCTCCACATCCACTCTTGGCCAAATGGGGGGGGGAGACTAAAAGGAGTTTGTGTGTTTTTATAGGTTTAGAATTTTAGGGTTTATTGGCAGCTTGTTTGTTGTACTTTTATTTTTAAATGCGGCCAAGTAGGCCTGTTTTGATTAGATATATGCCTTGTGCTTTAAAGGTTTGTAAGTCATTTAGGGGGTTCAGTACAGTTGCTAGTGTCATTTGATTGTTGCATTCAGTGTGGATTGGAGTGTTGTTCTGTGTTGCTGGTAATGTGTGCAATATAGTATTACGTGTTCGGGCGTTTCTTTTAAGTTGCAGTGGGGGCATTTAACGGTTTGGTGTTTTTTTAATTTGGTGCAGGTGGGAGTTTAACTTAGTGTGGCGTGTTTGTAGTTTAGTTATTACTGTCATTTTTTTATGATGGATTTTTGTTTTTTTGATTGAATTTTGTAGCAGGTCTTTTAGTTTGCAATCAGATTTCTGATAGTTATTTTGCCACTTTTGGAAGATATTTTCCTTTGTGATACTTATAATTTTGTTTTTTGATATTGGTAGGTTGATGCTTACTTCTTCTAATTTTAGTGCTGATTTGGCTGCTTTGACTGCGTGTTCGTTGCCAAATACTCCAACGTGGACAGGGATCCAAACTATTTCTTTGTCTTTACCTAGTTTACGTAGATTTTTGGCGCTTTTAATTATCTGTTGTATTAGTTTTGGGCGTTTTTTTTGTGTTTTTGTTTTTTATGGCCTGGAGCCCACTTAATGAGTCTGAAAGGATAAGGGTTTTTGGTGTCTATTTATTTGATCGCTGTGCAGGGCTGTGACTATCCCCATTAATTCGGCTGTGAAAATGGATTGATTTTTTGGGAGCCTATATGATTGTGTTTCTTTTCGGGATTTGTTGATATGGGTGCCGAATCCTTTTTTCTTTTTATTCTTTTTTTTATAACTTTTTATTTCTGTTGCATTTTTACACATGGGCTATACAATGTAATACATAGGCAGTAAACAAAAGTTAAAGCAGAATTATTGTGTGGGAAACAAAAGATGACAAGATGACAAGATGACCATAACTTGTAGAATTTATCGTTACTATTAAAAATCACGAATTTGCAAAGTAAGATCATTACATTTATAGGATCGTTGTGTCGCTGATCGAATCAAAGCAGAATGTTTTTTCTTGTTAATATGAGCTTAACTTGAATCTTATCTGATAGCCACTCTTCCAGTTTTCGCCATATTGGTTTCACTTTGCTACAGTCTGCCAGTGCATGGGAAACAGATTCTATACTATTTGAACATAAACTACATGTCTCCGAATCAACTAGTCGCATTTAAAAAAGTCTACTGTTTGTTGGTAGTATATGATGTAATACTTTATACTGGAACCATTGTAGTTCAGTATCTTTTGTGCATCGGAATGGTAAATGGTTATAAGTATGCCACACACATAAATCTAGAACGTTTTCTAAAATATGGTTCCATTTTGCACAATGTTGGTTATTGACATTATTTTTTTTCATCAAGGTTCTGTAGTATGACTGGCTATTGCCATTCAGTAGTTCAGACAGATATGTAGGTTTGAATGGCTTTTGAAAGGTCTGTATGTCCTTAAAGTCGACAAAGTGTATTGAGCAATACTGTTTTAGTGTGCTTATTATTCCTCTATATCTTAGAAAGTTTGTTCACGTTGTATTTGTCTCTAAACTGTTCATAGGACAGAAAGTTTCCGTTTTTGCACAAAAGGTCATAGACATAGTGTACACCACTTTCGCTCCAATTTGTATAGTGAACTAACTTAGATGTGTTGACAATGGATGTAAAATCCCACCAGGCTGAGAGAAGATCGCTGTAAAACGTATTACGAATCAACGGACTGAGAGTATCTTTAAGATTCGAACAATTATATTCAAATATTTCTGCAGAACCTAGTTTCGGTAAATTGGCTTTGAATAATTTGCACCATTTAGATGTCTGTTTATAATATCGTTTCATTACTGTGATTTTTTTAGACTGTATAATTTCTTTAAGTTTCGGAGCATTTAATCCTCCATCTTTCACACCGCAGGTGAGTTGAGTTCTTTTTATTTTATCTGGTTTATTTCCTCATATAAATCTAAAGCATTTTTTTTTAAATTTTTCAATTACCTTTTCTGGGGGGTTAGGTATAGAAGCAAAAAGATGGTTTAGTTTTGGAATGATTAGAGATTTTAATACAGTGATCCTTCCAAGAGGTGATAGGTTTCGGACAGACCAGATATGCACGAGTGTCTCACAGTGGCTCATGATCAACTTCTCTTTGTAATTAGAATCTATCATGTTTTCCAAGTCTATGTCGATTTTTATCCCAAGGAGTTCAAAGTTACCTTGATCCCAATTTAGTTTCCAATTATGGCATATTTTCATTCTACTGCGTTTTTTGGAACCAAACCAA